GCAGTATATGGCAGCAAGGAAAAGTATAAAATACACTGACCTGCAGGAAATGGACGCCGAGACTGGACTTGCTCAATTGCAAGCTATATCGGTTAAGACCACATGTCAAATCGTTGCTGACGATTGATATCCTACAAAGTGCTTAATTGATAAGCGCATCAATACGCCGATTCAAATGAATGGAAACCCAGTGCCGAACTATCATGAATTTTCTTCTCAGATGAAATGTATAATAAAGGAGTCTCAAGTGGTGAAATCTCAGCTGTTGTGGTCACGAAGTAGTGGTATCGTAACACAATCTAGTGATTCCGGTATCAGCATAAGGATCTTACGAACAAGATTACTGCAGGGAGCATTGACATGGCAATTTAGTAATAGCGGTCATCAAGTTATTGACTCAGATGCACTGCGCTTGTATGTGCAGCTGAAACTCCTTTGATGTTGTACGAAGGTGAAAGATCTATCTGTTGACCGCACACTACATCAGGGCATCTGTATACACCGCATTATTTACGTAAGCCGTGCTAGCGAAAGCTACCAAGCGATCTCTGGTATAATATTGTTGCGCTAGGCCACATCCCGAAGACGTGCTGTAGTCGTCCTCAAGTTTCCATAAGATCATCTTTAACTGGCTGTCGATGCACTGGGTTTTAAATATAATTATTATCACTATTCTATTTAACTTCGACGGTCGCTTCTTACTGTTGCGTATGCGTGTCCTACTTCACACTCAATCAACCTCATAGAGCGGGTGACTTTATTTTTGGCATTTTAGAAGTCAAACACGCGATAACCCTTGACATTAATCGCATAAGGGAGAGATTTACAGTTGAGATCGTTTAGGATCTTTGTTCTTTTGCATCGTTAACAGTAGCGTAAATCTGCGACCCGAACACGCGTAAGTGATCCATTCTTCAAGGAATCATCTTGAAAGCTAATTCATATGGCGTGAAGTCGAGTGCTGTGTTAGCGTCTTCCACCCGCCATTCTATTAAACCCATTATTAATTCCGTATACTGCGGGTCTTTCCCATGATAGCCATTTTCATGCTCCACCACCCATTTTGCTGAGGCCTATATGGAACGGGACTATGCGCTTCGATGACAAATAGTTTTAATTTTGTTTTATTGTTGGATGGATCTCAAGCATTTAAGATAAGTATCCCTTTGATTTTAAATATAGTTTTGAATCTCTTGAACTTGCGAAAATACTTCATACTTGCTGTTGGTCATGAAAATTGCAACATATCTAGGTAAAGCATCCACGAAAGTGAAGACATAATTGCACCACCTTTTGAAGGAGTCCACATTGAGTCTAAGATATCTGTGTGCACGTTCGGTCAACAAAATTCCAAGATTGTCGACAACCCGTGCGCATCACTATTGAAGTTATCGTCAATGTAGTCACATACTACAAAAGAGGACCGTTTAGCTATGCGCTCGAAACCATTTTGATCTTTCAATGGATGTCTGCTGTACATGACTACACGTATTTGACCGGATGTTGCATACGTGATAGCACAGCTTTTTAGTATTTCTGGAGGACTTCGGGCTGCAATTTTGGAATTTAGCAATTCGTGTGCTACGCTGCCTAAGAGTACATGCTTCACAATGTATATCAAGGCAGTGATAAATTCGCGGCTAAGGCATATTCAGATGTTGATTGGAGTAGCAATTTCGTTGACAATGGTTCTCTCTCAGAAGTAATTATCATGATTGTCTGCGCGCCAGTGGTGTTCAAGTCAAATAACCAGCGAGCCGCTGCGCTCGGCTCGACAGAGGCTGAATCAATGACTTTCAACATTTTGAGTTCATTAACGTTTCTGGTCGCGTGCGATGCTTGAGAACATAAACACACGAGCAAGTGGAAGGAGCACAATACTGGAAAGGCAACCAAGGAGCTATCGCATAAGCCAACAACGCCGGAAAGCATGCTCAAACAAAGCACTTGCACATACGGCACCTCCCCATGAGAAGGTGCAAGAAGTAAGTTTAACGATCGACTTAATCGACACGAAGCGCTAGCTTGCAGATTTGCTGACGAAAGCACTCGGAAACCAAGAGGCCCTTGCTTACACGCGAGGTAGCAACAATCAAAACCAAGCCGATACCAAGAATCAACAAAAATTATAGATGGATAGAAGTGCTGAGATAACACCGCTTAATACTGCTGAAGAACGATGGTGCGGGTATATGCCTATTTTACATGCGAAAGTATAAGTACAAAAAGGAAGCTTAGACTAGCCTAGTGGCTCACGTGTTGTAGCTCCAGATTCATGATTCATTGATCATATTCCCCCTAAAACAAACTATAGTCACATGATGATTCGGTTTCTCTGTAGGGCACCGAGCCATCCCCTCGTCCTTCCAAATGGTTTACTGACCTTTGTATTATTATGGCATAGTAATTTGATATCATATGACAATGTTTGGACAAGAAAGACATAAAAACAACGTTATTATTTTACTTTCCGTTTCTCAACACTCCAACAGAGACTTACCTTGTTAAAACTTAAAACTTTTATTGCACGGACAGGAACCTGCAACAACTTTGGCGTAGTATATGAGATGATTCGAGACAATTACTTATGATATTGTGAAGATTCTCATACAAAGATCTGATAGAATCGGTCACTGTAAGGTTCTGACACCGAGTGGACCCAAAACGTAACGACGTAACATTTGGTTTTATCATCCTAGTTCAGGTGAAGCAAATACCCACTGGCCCTATCCAAGGCGGAGAAGTAAGGTATCATATACTTTTACGCCGTGAATTCTGTAGCAGTATTTAATTGATAAGACATCTATCCACATTTAGCGCCGGAGAAATAAGGTATCATATACTTTTACGCCGTGGAATCTGTAGCAGTATTTGATTGATAAGACATCTATCCACATTTAGCGCCGAACACACTGTGTCAGCGGTAAGTGGTGAATTATGAACGTTATATGTTATTCAACGCAGCCACTTTATTGGTACAAACACCGATCACGCTCAAGGTTGCAATGCAGAATAGCGGGTCGGGTATACCTTGTGCTGCCCTCTTGCTTTAGTCAACAAATCGTACTAATAACTCACTAAGTAAGTCACTTTAGCAACACCTACAAGTAGGAAGCTATCAAAGTAACTGGCTATGGTATCTAATACACCGGTGATATTTGACTGTCTGGTAGTGCCTTGTTATGCGTATACATCAATCTATTTGACAAAGTTGTTATCAACGGTCGACAATTTTTTGAATATCGGTTTTCGACATCTTCGTTAAACACTTGCAAAAATGCTCGTGTGTATGTGCTAAAGAGAGCGATCTGCTTGTATCGACAAAAGTATCTGTGCTAACAGGATTTCGTTTCTAGGATGAGTAATTGGAAATACGAGGAAATCACGGTTAATTTGAATGGCCATTTACTTTTCCAGGATCACTCACAGATGTGGCTCTGTCAACTATTTGCGCAAAT